TCTATCTATGTGTCTATCTATCTATCTATATCTGTCTATCTATCTCTCTATCTATCTATCTATCTATCTGTATCTATCTATCTATCTATCTATCTATCTGTCTATCTATCTATCTATCTGTGTGTCTATTAAATCTATCTATCTGTCTTATGTGTGTGTGTCTATCTGTCTATCTTCATCTATCTGTCTATCTATCTATATCTATCTGTGTATCTGTCTATCTATCTATCTGTCTGTGTATGTATCTATCTATCTATCTATCTGTCTGTCTCTATCTATCTATCTATCTATCTATGTATCTATCTATCTGTCTATCTGTCTGTCTATTCTATCTATCTGTCTATCTATCTATCTTTCTATCTATCTATCTGTCTATCTATCTATATATCTATCTATCTATATATCTATCTATATATCTATCTGTGTATGTATATATCATCTGAATCTGTCTGTATTTCTGTTTGTTATATCTATCTATCTATCTGTTGTGTGTCATTGTCTATGTGTAATCTATCTGTGTATATGTGTCTATCTATCAATATATATATCTTCTTATGTATGTGTATGTGTCTATCTGTGTATGTCTGTATCTGTGTCTATCTTTGTATGTTTCTATGTAAATCTATTGTATCATGTGTGTTTGTCTATCTTCTGTTCAAATGTATTGTACTCTGTATTGTTTTGTTCTATCTGTGTGTGTTACACAGTTATGTGTGTCTATCTGTGTGTGTGTGTGTGTGTGTGTGTGTGTAAATCTGTATCATCATTGTGTGTGTGTATATGTGTGTGTATATATATATATATATATATATTTATGTGTGTATGTGTGTTATGTGTGTGTGTAAAATCTGTTTATTTGATGTGTGTGTGTGTGTTGATGTATCTATCTGTGTCTGTGTGTGTGTGTGTTTTATCTTTTGTGTGTGTGTGTCTAAATCTGTGTGTGTGTGTGTGTTTTTATCTGTGTGTGTGTGTGTGTGTTTCTATCTAAAATTTGTGTGTTATCTGTATCTTTTTAATAAATAATCTGTCTATCTATCTGTGTGTGTGTGTGTGTATATATTATGTGTCAATGTGTGTGTGTGAAAATGAAAATTTGTGTGTTTGTGTGTCAATCTATCTGTGTTAAATGTGTGTGTGTGTGAAATATCTGTGTGTGTGTGTGTATGTGTCAATGTGTGTGTGTAAATATGTGTGTGTGTGTGTGTGTTTGTGTGTCTAAAATCTATCTGTGTGTGTGTATTGTCAAAAATCTACCATTTTGTGTATCTGTGTTAATATCTATTTTATATATGTGTGTGTATATATCTAAATGTTCTTTGTGTTTTGTCTGTGTGTGTATCTGTGTGTATTGTGTTTCTCAATCTATCTGTGTGTGTGTGTGTGTGTATCTATCTGTGTGTGTGTGTGTGTGTTTCTATCTGTGTGTGTGTGTGTGTTTCTATCTGTGTATCTGTCTGTATGTGTGTGTATCTGTCTTTGTGTGTGTGTGTTATGTGTCATCTATCTCTATGTGTTGTGTGTCTATCTGTGTGTGTGTGTATGTTCTATCTATCTGTGTGTGTGTGTGTGTGTATCTATCTGTAATGTGTGTGTGTGTATTTTGTGTGTGTGTGTGTGTTGTATCTCTGATCTTTGTGTGTATCTGTCTATGTGTGTCTTTAATGTTTCTCTATCTAATAATATCTATCTAATTTTCATCTGTTATTCTATTTATAAAAGTCACCATTGCCTATATTCTGGTTGTTTTTTTGATTATTTTTTTTTTTTTTTCAAAAACATAGGTTACTGTTTTAAAAACCTTTTTCATAGTGATTTGTTCACCATTTTCCGACTAAGCGTAAAAAAAAAAAATTTTTTCTCTGACGGGATTCGAAAAAAAAAAAGGAAAACTAGTCTGATCATAATAAATCCTGACAATTTGTCTATAAGGAACCTAAATGCCATGTAAAATTCCATTTGCCTTAAAGCAACAAACGCTCGTTCAGATTCTCCTCGAAGGTCATACCTCTTCAGTTTCGTGACTGAAACGTAATCTAATTTCTGAAGGTTCGAATCCTGTCGAGGATATTTTTATTTTATTTTTCCAGAATTAGCCAGTCCATTAAACGAAATTTTAATTTTTTGCAAAAAAAAAAAAAAAAATTTTATTTAAAGGAAAAATATTTTATGGGCAATAAAACTTAACTTTTCTTTTTTTTACAAATAAAGTTTGAAGTAATAAAATGACAGATTAAAAAATAAAAATCCATTAATTCTTTATATATAAGGTCATCCCATAAGTTCTGTCCGAATTTTGAATAAAGAAAACAAGTGACCAAATGTTACATTTAATTACAGATTCAACCAACAATGTATTTTCTTTGATTATCTTTGACTCAACAAGCTTACTAATTCCATTACTATAAAATTCTTTTGGCTTTGATTCGAAGAACTCACAAATGTCAGTTTTAATCTCTTCCTGTGTTACAAAAGCTGTTTCTTCCAAATGATTCTGTAAGCTACAAAACGAATGGTAGTCTGAAGGAGCAAGATCGGGAGAATAAGGTGGATGAGGAATTTTCTCCCAACCAAGTTCTTCAATCTTTTGTGACGTGATTCTTGCTGTGTGGGGTCGCGCATTGTCCTGATGAAACATCACCTCTTTTCGATTCACTAGAGCAGGGTTTTTTTCCTCAAAGTTTTGGTTCAAACGCTCTAATTGCTGACAGTATATTTGAGCATTAATTGTTGCATTAGGTGGTAAGAATTTCAAAGTGGATTATTCTTGGCGATCCCACCAGAATGAAAGAAGAACCTTTTTGCCCATGAAGTTCCCTTTCTCGGCTGTGGCTGGGGTCCTTCCCTTTACCAAGCCACTGTCTACGACGCTTAACATTTCGATAAAAGATCCATTTTCGTCGCCAGTCACAAGTCTATCCAAAAAAGGTGAAACAAGTTGGCGAGAATGGAGAAAGAGCAGATGTCAACTCAGGATTTGAGGTTGTTTTCAGACAATTCATGAGGCACCCATTTTCCAAGTTTAGGAACTTTTCCATGTTGTTGAAGATGACCATGAACAGTTGTATGGTTTGAACTGAGAACCACTGCCAATTCCTCAACTGATAAAGCAGGATTTTCTTCAAGGGCTGCTTCAAGAAGCTTTTCATCAAACTCAACTGGACGTCCGGTTCAATCTTCATCTTCAAGGGTGAAATCTCCACCTCTGAATTTTGCAAACCATCTTCTGCAAGTTCTTTCATTCACACATTCCTCTCCATAAACTGAGTGAATGTTTCTAGCCGCTTCGGCTGCTGAGTTTCCTTTCTTGAACTCATAAAGAATTATGTGCCTCAAATGATTCTTGGGTACTTCCATGTTAGCAGGGTTTTAATCAAACAAAATTTAATTTTATTGTTCTCTGAAATAAAATTTGATCAGTTTAAATGCATCTAAACATAAAAATGTTCAGCTTCATTAGATATTATAAAATACTTTTTAAATTTCGTTCATTTTAACAAAAAGTTAAAATTCGGACAGAACTTATGGGATGACCTTATATATATATATATATATATATATATATATATATATATATATATATATATATATATATATGTGTGTGTGTGTGTGTAAAATATATAGAAAATAGGAAAGAACTCGTTAGGTAAATAATCCAAAGTTCTTTAGTATTTTTTATTATAAGGAAAAAAAATAGTGCTCGATACAAAAGTAGAGCATAAATATAATTATTTATTTAAAAATATGATTCCAACTCGCGACATAAGAGTTCTCATGTTTCAAAACAAAGAGCCGAAAACTTCAATATTATAATTATTTGAATTGAATTAAATTAAAATAAGCTCTGTTCCATCTTCAAGCGAAATTTTTTGGAATAACTTTTTGGAAATTTACGCGTTTTATAAGTAAATTTCAAAAATTTATTCAAAAAAAATTTCCTTGAAGATGGAACATTGAATTTTACTTCTTTCAATTTAATTCAAATAATTATATTTAAGTTTTCAGGGCTCTTGTTTTCTAAATTTGAGAACTCATTTACCTAGTCTGGTTTCTTTTTTTAAATAAATTAATTTTATATTTTTTTTTCTTTGTCTGCACACATATATATAATTTAATTCATAACATTTGTTTTTTGAATTTTGTGTTATTTCTGCCTTCCGAGCGGAAAAACTCAAAAGTACTTAAAAATAAATTGGGAAATTTATCGTCTGAAGAAGGTTTTAGAGGCGATCCTCATAAATTTGTTGTCGATCAGTTATTGTTCTTATGAATGCAAACATTTCAAGCAAATAAGATAAACCTTGACATTCTTATCCAAGGTTTACCGATAGTATGAACACAATCAAGCACGCGATCTCTATTTTAATTTCCACACACACCATTTCTTTCGCCAGCGGTTCTTCGAAGATTGTTGTTTTACAGAGGACGTTAGAAGCAGTTGTCGTAGTTTATGCTGGATATTCAGAACAGAAAGTTGTAGTTAAGAATGCTTAAAATAATTCAGCATGAAGTACTGTACAATGATTTCAATTGTTTTACAAGCTAACAGTTGGTTGATTTTGTTTTACGGCATATCAACCTCTCTGGATGATTTAATGCTAAAATCTAAATATTTTGAACGCAATTAATAATAATAAGTTGCACAAAGAAACATCAACAAACCTTGTTGTAGTTGGAGCCCTCGGATTGGATAAAAATTCCAGTAGACTAATTGAAGGGATTCCTGGAAGTCCATGCGTTAAAGAAATAGAAAAAGGTGTTCTCACATGTACAGCCAACACCTTACGAAGGGCTTTATCGATATAAAATAGGTTTGTCGTTCTTAGCTTGTTAATACAATTCTAACTAATTTACCCATAGCTGGGGAGTGAACAAGTGGATTCATACCTTTGCAAAGTAATTGCGTGTAAGTGAACCTAACGAACCTAGCTGGAACTGAAACCCGGCTCTCTGATCACGAATTTAGAGGCATTATACGTTACACCACCCGCACACTCAAGCTTACAGCACCTGGTATTCTCAAGAGGCCACTTGTCTAGGTACTGACCAGGCTCGACGTTGCTTAACTCCAGTGATCGTACGGGAACCGGTGCTTCAACGTGATGTGGTCGTAAGCCTCGAGACAAGTCGAAATTCAGTTAATATACAGGATGCCCCCCCCCCTTTGACTATATGAATTTTTTTTTTCTTTCATTTTCATGTCCATGCATTTAATTTCATTGAATATTTAAACTTTTTTTCCATCTATGTATATTTGCACAACAGTCTGATCGGTGGGCCATCGTTTTTATATATATATATATATATATATATATATATATATATTTTTTATATATATGTATTTTTTTTTTGTTGGTATTTATCGATAAAAATCGTTATCTAGTTGCCTTCCTAATTACTCTTCTATTGAAATAAACTGTTATATATATATATATATATATATATATATATATATACGCACACACAACGGCGTACGATGGATAAATTGTCTAAATTACGTAAAAATTAAAGTTACTCATTTCATTTTAACAGATGTATTTACCAAAACTACGCAAAGATATCTTGAAATACTAAATAGTAAATTTTGAAAGCTCTCACCAATTTACAGTTGAATTGGCTTGTTGTAACCGTAATCACGTAAGCACACAGTTTTTCTCGCACTTCTTGCTTGTGAAGCTCGCTTCCGGGTTCATGCTTTTCCGGCCAGGTTTACATTTCATTTTTTTTTTTTTTTTTTGGTATATCGATGCCAATCGTTATCTACTGCCTTCCTAATTACTCTTCTATTGTTCTCACTCGTAATTTTTTTTTCGTTTGCATATTCTTTCCCACTCAGTAACTTTGTGTCTTAGTAGCGTTACTGACTTTTGCTAAAAAAAAAAGGAAAGGATTTGGCGACAAAATCAACAGAAAAATGGGAACTAACCCGGGAATATTTAATAATCTTAGTGGAAATTTATAAGCAGTTTTCATTTAGTATCTGTCGTTACTATGGTAGCGAATTACTTTTTACTCATATGTACTAAATTATCAGTTCTGGTAGGATTAAATTATTTCCTTCATTTTTTCTCTCATCACAGTACTAATGTGGTACGACATGTTCCCTGTTTTTTTACTAATTTTCTCCATGGTACAATACAGAAAAATAAAATTTACTCGCTTGTTTCATAAGGTAAAAAAACAAAAAAATTCCCCGAGCCACAGACGACAAACTTATCCTATACAAAAACAGGTTTACTTTTAATGGTTTGATTTCTTTTACAGTATATCAACCCGTTGGGTCATTTAATGCCGTAATTTTTTATTGTTTATAAAATGTTGTATATCTATATTATTTACATTATATCGAACTGTTGATCTCGTCTTTATTGCCATATTCACAACGTTTCAGTCGTTGCACGCTCCAGTCTTCAAGTGACTGCAATTTTGAATCGAAACATTCATTTCGTCCACCGGGGTAGATTGTTCTAGTTCCACGTGCCTTGCCTCTTCCAGATGTCTGTTATTTCCCTTTAACTCAAACTTCTAGGTATTTCGGTTCAACACTGCTGTAGCCTGGTATTGAACTCACAACGTAGCCCAGTGGATAAAGACGTTGGTTAGATCCAGTGACTAGACCAAAAGGTATTGCTGCTTGTGGTTTTTCTTAGTCGGTGTGTAAATAATCTACTGTTGTCTTTTTCTCTACTGGATGACTCGCCCAATTTCTCTCAAACCGCTTGGGTCAACTTGTGCTATGGTTTTCAGACTCAGATTCGCATGGTGAAATTTTATCACGACGCCGATATTAGCAATTGACCTCCTTGACAACTTGACCTTGACGCTATTCAAACTGTGACCTCCTGCTCAGAACGTTGACATTTTTATCACTCAACCTTGTGCCCGCTGGAAAGCTGCTTTGAAATTAATCCTATTCTTGATTAGCCTGCGCATAGAGATTTTAGCCTGTCACAAGTTGCCACCTCCTGGAGAAAATAGAGAATATACTTCCAGTAGTAGTCATGCATATAGGTATGTCCCGGTACCCCATATTTTCGGTCTTGTGCCCCCATATCTAAGTTATCTGTATGGTTAGTTTCTAAACGTATGTTGAAAAAAATTCCCTATGGTAAAAACAAATAAAAACAGTAAAACTCTCATATTCAATTATTTAAATTATTTTTTAAAATTTTTAACTCTTTTGTGACATCAACAAACACTCGTTTGACACATTGATTCCAAAGAATATTCGTTGTCTCTTTTGTAATGCTCATTGTAGTAAAGACTTTGTAATCGCCGACACAACTATAGTACGTCGTTGAACAATACTGGTGTCAAACACTTTGGAATAATCTCGCACTAATACTACTTGCTCAATAATACTCGCTCGAACAGTAATCCGTATAGTGATCCGAGAACAGAATAGCGGTCCGTATAATAATAGAGGATAGAATAGAAATAAGGATCCTTATAGTGATACAGGAGAAATAGCGATCAATTTAGATGTCACGCAACTTTCTACATATATGCGTTTCCCCTATGTTCACGGGGGTCTACTAAATTAAATAATTGGATCGCTTGTGCTTGCTCACTGGCGATCTGTGTTCAAGTTCAATTGTCGGCAGCGGAATTTTATTCCTATATAGCACAGTTATTTTTTTTAATTTGATTTTTGCAATTATTTTTTAATTGTTGTCTCATCTTTAATAATTTTCTTTGTATTTTACGATATTTTTTTCCTTTTTCATTCTTGTATTAAATATGAAAATCTGCATTGAAAGAAGATTAGCTAGAAATATACTTCAGTCTTTCTCTACTGATGTGACCATTGTATCAGCTACGAAGGTATATTAGGTAAATCTTACTGTTTACAATTTGCTCAACTGTTGAGCGCTAATGTAATGTCTTCTGCAATTTACAGTAAGAATAAAATCCACGTCGACTTTATAAAAGAAAATTAACCATTCAAAAATTCATTAAATCTTACTGACTTTTGAACCAGGTCACTAATCATGAAAAATGAATTCGTTTCAATATGAAATCTAATAACGCTCCCTTCAAAATCTCGTTCTTGATATACGATTGCAAATTTTTTGTAGAATTCCCCAAATAATTACTAGCAAAAAATTCCTGGAAACTCAGCAAATGAAAATTGCCAGATACTTTTGCTGCATATAGATTTCAGTCCTCGTTTCGAAACTTGATACTGCAAATATTCAAGATGGAAAGTTTGGAAATTGTATGTATTTTCGGCTGACCAAATTGTGACTCGTTTTGGGTGTGATGATAAACTCCGTCCGACAGCAAGACCTCTGATCGGGAGGTTTTGATTAGTGTAGAACCTTCTCTTAATTGCTGCTGTTGCTAGGTTGGCCACAGCAGAGGCGAACAAAAACTTGGAGAATAGTGTTATTAAAGGGAACCAACTGAAACTGAGACATCCAGAAAAGACATGGAACTATTTCGAACCGAACACTTTATTTCGTCCACCGTGGATGATTCGAAATTCTAATGTATATATCCTGAAGAAGGCCGAAGCATACAACGGCCGAAATTTTGTGAATTTTCATCACAACGTGTTTGTAATTGTCCCCTCGGTCTTTTTTAGGTGCTTCTGTTACGTAGTGTGCGAAAGGTTTTTCTTCCTCCGTATGAGTTCGAATCCCTCGTTGCCAAGTTGTTATGTAGTAGTTTCACAGTGGAGGCTTGTTTTTGTACTCAATCGGTCCTAAAATAGGTTCGACGTACTAAACGTTACGAACTTGATATAATCGGTAATGACGCAGTAATCTAGTTGTGGTGGCTGATACTTTAATATCCGACTAATTGTCGTCCGACATCGACTGAGTGACCAAACTCCCTGAGCGACTCCTACTACTCCTACTTATTATAGATGGGAGAGTCTATTAACTATAGAATAGGTGTGTTCCACTATAACATTCTCTATCCGAGTAATCTTCAGAGAATTTCGAACTGAAACCTTTTACGTTGATGATCAACAGGAGAAAAAAATAATTATATAAATATTTACTCAGCATATTTTCATTCAAACATTTTTAGTTAAATACGTTATGTCTATTTATTTTAGTTTTAATCATTTTAAGTCCACGAATTAATTTCTTAATAGCTGTAGAAAATTAATCAAGAAAAATTCATTTTTTTGTTTTTCAAATTTTTTAAATATTTTGAAAAAAAATTTGCCGTCTTTTTTTTTTTTTTTTTTTTAATCGATTTCCTACAGCCATCAAAAAATTAATTCGTGGATTGAAAGGATTAAAACTGAAATAGATAATTTAGATATATTATGTCTATTTATATACATAGGTTAATAATCCGCAGTTATTTAGCATTTATTTTTTTTCCAAAGTGCCCGATACAAAGTAGAACATAATATTATTTGAAAATATCTTTTCATCGCGACACAAATTTCATTGTTTCAGAACTTAAAAATATTGTTGCAATTTCAAGCTATATTCAATAACTTCAAAAAAAAAATTTCCTTTTGAAAGCAAAGTATATTGAAGAGTTTAAGTAGGAGGGGGGAATAAGATTTCAAAAAATAATTTATGGCGTTTGTCATATTTGATGAATCCAAAGACAGATTTAAGTTAAAGAAGAAAAGTGAAAAATGTAGGTTAGAGTTTAGGTGTGGGTATGTAATTCATGCTTGTCTAGATGAGCCGTTATGTGTTATACATGATACCATTGTTTCCTGTTAAGGACATATTCATCAGATAGAATGAAATAATATAGAGGTATAGTAAATACCCAAAAATATTTAGCAAGGTATGTTTGGTGACTATAGCCATTGTTGTTGAAGTAAGAAAGATGTTGGTACCATCTCAATTTAAAGTTAGTTTTTGTACTACCAATATAAAAATTCTTAATACCTGTGTTTTCAATATATGAAGTGGTACAGTGATAAACTATAGATTATGTAAGACACTAATTTTGCAATGGACTATTTTGGGGATTTCTAGAGTTACATAATTTAGTAATATTATTGATTTTCGTTCTGTAATTACTATTATGATTTTTGTCTGAGTGTTTATTTAAAATTTTACTATGTTTTTATAATTTTTTTTTCTAAGTTTTCAATAAAACTACAACTTAATTTTAGAGTATTTTTATTTAA